TCCATACGGCCAATGGCGTTGATTTTACTGAGATCCATAGCTGCTAAAACTGTGAACAAAAGAAGAATGAGCAAAAATGCTTATGGACCATATATTTATACTCTAAAATTTTGCTCGTGCATGCGCAATAGACTTTTACCCCCTACTCTTGCTATTTACCGTCACTCCTTCTTCTACGCATGCACAGTTCATCTCAGCATTTTCCACGCATGCGTAATACCCCCACCACTCCGAAGTTAGCCACACCCACTTTGTGACGTCATAAGACAAGTTTATACATGCTTAAACTCGTTAAAAATAGCTTAAACATATAATTAAGATAATAGGAAGGTAGGGTAAATTAATTTAAAACATTTTAAATACATTTTTATACATTTATTCATTGCATATAAAATTTTCACAATCATTATAAAAGTCTTTTAAAGTACAATCGTTATCAACTTCATAATTATTTTCTATATTATTTCGTAGTACATTTGATGGTTGTATCAACCAATTTCGTAGGTTACATACATTTTTAACAGCGCAATTGCTAAAACTACGTGTGTGGTTTGTACATGTAGATGAATTATCTACATCTAAACTTTTTAATGATGGACATTTGAAATCATCTAAATTAAATACGTTTAAAGTATATTTTTCCAGCCATCTTTGTTTTTCCAAACCTTTTACGTAAACAGTAGGTGTACCAATTAATACTTCTTTTACTATAGGTTGTAATTCTTCATAAGGTATGTCGCCGGCAGCCCAATCGATACCATGATAATTATTTGTCAGCCATCGATTCTCACATTTGTATCTTGCTGGTAATCGACTCCAGGCGTATGGCGGCTCGAAGAGGTAGACCAATGGATGAGCATCTTCTTGAAGAGGTAGAATAGCCAGCTCCTTGATGACAAACTCGTTGTAGGGTCTTTTGAAATATTGGATATCTATAACGTACGACATGATATCTGTAACAGAGGAATGACCCAAGCTGCATAGAACTGCTCCTTTTATAGTCACTCCTCCCCACCACTAACACCCTTTCCTCTCTTCTGATTGGCGATTACAACCACCAATCATGATACTTTTTTAACAACACCGCTGATTGTTGAATATTGGATAATACGATCATGAATTATTAAACAGTATGCAGCTGTATTATTGGGAAAATTATCACTAGCTTCAAATTCCAGGCGTACATCTACAGATGACTGTTTTAAAAATTCGTTTTGTTTTGAACAATCTATGACAGCTAGTGGTGCATAATCTTTAAAGTTATTTCTGTTTAGCAAAGGCTCAGGTTCTTTTCCATAGTATGATGATTGAAAATTACAATACATATCATAAAGAATAGAAAATTGACCTTGATTAAAATTTAAATTCAAATTACCATATGGATAGTATTGTGAATTTAAGTAAAGTTTTACATTGGTTAAATTACAATTATCAAAAATGTTGGCATAGCTTGTATGATTTTCTTTTCGGTTTGTTTGAAAACCAAGAATAACATATCTAGGTTTTTCAACTTGAGTTGAAGTTTTTACAGTCCATATGTGTTTTCGTGTAGCAGGAATCATAGGATACTCATACAAGTCCCATGCTCTGAAACTCATCGTAATAGGTGAATCTTTTTCAGTGTATTTTAGTAATTCAATTTTTTGTCGATCACTAACAAATAAATATGGAATCATCCATTCAATTTTATTAATTACAATTTTGAATTCTTCACGCTCTAATCCGTCAATGTTAACTATAGCATTAAGGTCTGTACGAGATCTTGTTAAAATAAGTTCATGTTTTGCATTTACAACAATCTTTCGATAGTCCTCAGCAAATCCAAGAATCATATTTAGTGGTATATTTACATCAAAATATCCATCAGTATTAGTTACTCTACTAGCATCATCAAAGTCAAGATAACCTGCATTCTCAGCATAAATCATCTGATTAGGTGTTTGAGAAATGTATGATTTCATTGTTGTCGTTAGACCAACATTTTTACAATGATCAATCTCAACGCCATTTAATTCATAACGAATCTCATTAAACATGTAACAAATACTATTGCTAATTAGTTTTGTATTTGTTACAGCAGTATTATTAGTTTTAACTAATCTTCCATGTACATGTAATGTACTTTTAGAGGGAAGAATGTATAAATCTTGATGTTGAACAGCAATTCGAATCTCATCACTATTATTAAATGCGGATAAAACATACGGTTGATGAGCATGTTAATACTGACATGACATTTAATCAATTTCGAGAGTTATGTTCAACATGTTGGAATTCAGACAAATATGGCTTTGTAGTAATTGATAAAGATTCTAATTTAAATGATGGAAGATATAGAAAAGGATTCGACAGTTTTCTAGCACTATAAATACATGATAATTTTTAAAATAGTATTAGTGTTGTTTTAAAACTTGAAATATCAACATGTTTCATAAAGAGAAAGAGTATCTACGTCAAATTGCTAAAGCTAGTGAGGCAATTAGACGGAAGCATCGTATGTTGAAATTAGGGAAGGAAGCTGTCGAAAATGTTTTGAATGAAACCTTTAAACCAGTAGTTCAACCTTTACAAAAAATTATTAACTTGACAGATTATAAACATGAAAATGTTAATATTGAAAAGAAAGAAGAGATTGAAAATAAAGCTGCATCTGATAAAAATGATAGTGATGATGATATAAATTATATGAGTACTGATGATGGTGAAACACTAAAACCCGGATCTGACATTGATAAATTAGTTAGTAAATATATATTTTTGATAAAACATAATAGAAAACAATGTTTGGATATGATATATGGAGTACGCAAAGCTAATGATGGTTCCCTTATGTTTGGTAATAAAACCATAATCTTTAAAAATCACATTGTAGATATTGAAGATAAACGTTTTAAAATTACCTCTGGGTTATTAGAACTTTTATTTAAAAACAAACCTGAAAAATCATACATTAGTGAACATGATATGAATAGTTATAAACAAATTCTTACCACCTCCAATGCACATAGAAAAAACTATAGTTCCTCTAACTCTATTCATAGAGATAAAAGTTTTAAATACATGAATATTATATCAAAATTATTTCCTTCTACAAAAGAGTCATCTATAAGTGGTAGTTCACTACCTAAATTTATGATTGCGAATAAAAGTTTTAAACCAGATTATATTTATTGGGATGATCCAAATGAATTGGTTGATCGTCTTCGATTACTGATGGCATCTCAAGGAGCTGGCAATACTAGTCATAATAATGAAATTATGTCAATTATTGAGGAATTACGTGAGGCTAAAATCATATATTAAGGTGTGCTTTAGTAAATGTCATTCATTTCAATAATGAGCATTGATCTGTTCGGACATCCTCTCAGTCAAGGAGGAACAGTAATAGCAAGACGTGGACCTACTGGAGTTGGATTTAAAGTTAATTCAAGTGGACACTTTGATATAGATAATAAAAGACTTTGTAACGTTAAAGACGCTGAAGAACTGCATGATGCAGTAAATTTAAGACTTGTACAAAACATTGTAAAAAACGAAATAAAAACTATTTTCCAAGTTACGTCATCATTAAGATCATCTATTGATGACTTGAATCTTTTTATGCAAATTATTGAGGACAGAGTTAACGAAAAACTAAAACAAATTGAATCACAGCAAAATTTATATTTAATGCAGCTAAATTTATTAAAGAATGATGGCTGATAAAAAGTTAACAGTAGTAACTGAACTTCATACACAGGCTAGAAAAAATTTCCATCGCCGTCGCGTAGAAATGCGTGATATTGATGACACCTGGCAAGCAGATTTAGTTGAAATGCTACCTTATTCAAAAATAAACAAAGGTTACAATTATTTACTTACAGTCATAGATATCTTATCCAAGTATGCTTGGGCTGTTCCAGTAAAAAGTAAAAATGGAAAAGATGTGACTAACGCAATGAAATTCATATTTGAAAAAGGACGTATTCCAAAAAACCTTCATTCCGATAAAGGTAAAGAATTCTACAATTCTCAATTTGAAGCTTTAATGAAAAAGTACAAAATTAATTTTTATTCAACATACAGTAACTTGAAAGCATCTATTGTTGAAAGATTTAATAGAACACTTAAAAGGAAAATGTGGATGCAATTCAGTTTACGAGGAAATTACAAGTGGTATGATATATTACCTAACCTCATTTCTACTTATAATGACACAAAACATAGAACAATTGGAATGAAGCCTAAAGATGTTACTGCACAACATGTTGATATTTTAAAAGATCGAATCTCGAAGCTAAGAAAAATTCCGTTAAGACGATCTAAATTTAAAATTGGTGATAAAGTGCGAGTTAGCAAATATAAAAATATTTTCGAAAAAGGTTATACTCCTAATTGGACTACTGAAATATTTACAATTGATAAAGTGGAATCAACTCAACCTGTGACTTACAAACTCAAGGATTACCAAGATCAACCCATCAGTGGAGGATTCTATGAAGAGGAGCTTCTAAAAGTGAAATATTCAGACATTTATCTTGTTGAGAAAATTCTCAGGACACGTGGAAACAAAGTTCTTGTCAAGTGGCTTGGTTTCGATAACTCTCACAACACTTGGGAAGACAAAGCAAATGTATAATTTATAGTTAATGTTGAATCAATGTTGAATCAATGTTGAATCAATGTTGAATCAATGTTAAATCAATGTTAAATCAATGTTAAATCAATGTTGAATCAATGTTAAATCAATGTTGAATCAATGTTGAATCAATGTTGAATCAATGTTGAATCAATGTTAAATCAATGTTAAATCAATGTTAAATCAATGTTGAATCAATGTTGAATCAATGTTAAATCAATGTTAAATCAATGTTAAATCAATGTTAAATCAATGTTATAATGTATATATGTAAGGAATTTTTAAATAAAAAACACATGAAAATAAAATACAATTGTTCTATTTATTTCTTTTATCACAGCCTTTACATTTCCCGACATTTTTTCTCGAACTTATCAACTATTTACAAATCGTCGAGATTTGGGATCGCATAGTGACCCCACGGTAGAGTATCGGTACTCCCCGGTAACAAGTACCGTTTATCGTCTTGTGGAGATAAGGCTACTTTCAACTGTTTAACAGTTTCAACATTGTGTGGCCGCGATCTTATATTATACTGCGTGCGAGTTTGAATGTCAAAATCTCGTAGACATTTTACATAATCATCAAATTGAATGGTCTTTTTAACAACGCCGGCTTTAATACCTTTGGCTTTTTTAATAAAATCTTTATCTTCGACGCGTACACTGTACAGCTTACTCCGCAAGCCAACAAATTCAGTTACAATTCTACCGTTGCACTCATCTTTCATGAGGCCGAGGATCTTTTTGTTGGCTTGCGGAATGCCGTACACGTTGCTTGCGGGATAATCTGACGTATCAAACTTTTGGATATCATTTTTCATGTCATTGTAGACATCTTTGCATTTGATTTCATAGATTAGACTGTCTGTATCGGTATACATCAGTTTACAATTTTCACCGTACTTTTCTAACATATATCCGTAGTGAAAATCATAGATTAGCGTCTTAGATATATCAAGCACACTTAACCCTACGTATATCGGTTTGTTGAGTAGTACTTCGGTTTTACGCAGTTCAATGGCAACCAGATTCTCATCGAATATCGCTCGACTATGGAAGTTGGGTCGGGAAATAAGGGCTTCAGCTCCGTAGCGACCAAACCATTGTGTAACAAGCTTAATGTCGACATGTTTACGGACATTTTCCATCGTCTTACCGTAAACAGCGTTGTTCATTAGTTTGAACAAATTCTTTTCAAACTCATTCTTGGCGTTGGTTCTCATCATCGTGTTGTAGTCAATGTACGGTTTAAGCCAAGTTGACTGCTTAAACTGTAGCACGCGGTGAATTTTAACAAGTTTAATGCCATTTGAGAGAACTTGCTTTAGCGTTCGATAATGTATCACATACTTTTCTTTTGGCAGGAGAGTTGTTAATAATTTCTCCTGCTTTGATAATGGAGGTTTCATATTTTCAGCACAGAACGGCATGTCTTTGTGAGTATCATGAATTTCTTTCGGATACTCCAAATCGACTTCTAGAATGTACCCAATAGGGGAATCGTCAGGTAAATTAAAATTAAAAGCATCATCGACATTTTCAACCCATTTAAAGCCGCCATAAGGGAGCGATTGTGCCATTGCCCAACCATACAAATTGTTGGCATCGAAGTACATTATATAACTTGTATCTTCGGCTTTATCAAACTTTTCCATATACGGATTATTCGCTTTCGCATAGCGGTTGCAACATTGACTAATGCCACCTCTGATACCCGACTCAACAAACATAATCATATCAATATCGGTTATAAGTTGTAATCCTATACTCGTGTACTTGAGCATAGCATCCCAAGTTAAACCAGGGGTTGTATAATAGTGTGCTGGATCTAATCCGTACGCTTTAATACATTGTTCTCGGAAATTCTCAAAAACATCTGCAAGCAATAATACATCAGTTTTCATGTACAAATGAACATAGTCATTGAGATTTTGACAATCAAACTCAGACCATACATTCTGTGCATGCTTATACTCTTCATCAGAAATACTAGCATCGTAAAGAGTACTGTAAAATTTCTCTATCGGGGGTAATTCAGTCTCATCTAACTTACTTTTGGAGTCGAAATACTCATATGGAAATACTCCCTTTCGCGTCAACAGTTTTATTTTATCCGGATCTGTCACCGTACTGGAAAAAACGAGGTTGACAATTTTATACTCGTCTAAATACGATGCGAGTTTTTCTAGGGATGCTGCCATGAATCGCAATGAGTCGATGAATCGAAATTTGACCTCACTCCCCTTAACATGTTTGGTGAAGGAGATATACTTCTCCTTGTTAATGGGGAGGAGGTTAATTTTCCCTTCAAAGCTCGTAGAAATCGCGTGAATTATAAAATGGGCGTCATAGCCACTTAGGTTATGGAAAACTACAGGTATCGTTTGACAATCTTGATAATTTAGATTACATGATTCATGGGCAGCACCCCTATATTTGCCAGTAAGGTGACAATGATCGCGGACTTTCTTTTCGCTTGCAGGTATTTTCTGATGACAAATATGACAAGTGGTTTCTCGCTTGAAATCATTGATTTCCTGAGGAGTTAAGGCAGTCATTGGTATTGGATTTTTAAAGACATTATCAATTTTTTCAGATAATTGCCTTAATTCCTCAGTGAACCATTTAGCAGGGTCGGATTCATGCTTCGGACAAGGTACATATTTACATAATGATTCATCGTAACTACATTTTATATAATAGCCGATGCTTAACAATTTATGTCGCTGGAACACTTCAGTCTTACTTAAATTGTCTACATCTTCATCGGCGGGAAGAAGTAAACTTTCACAGTCGGCGTATATCACAAAAGGAACTTTTTCCTTATTTTTATAATTTTTAAACGTGATTGTACACTTATCGGGCTTTGGTAATTTAATTTTACACTCATTCATTTTTTTACAATTTTCGAGATGTTCATTCAGTCTATCTATAGAAGAAAAATAATGTAAGCATCTGTCACATATATGTTTTTTACCATTTTTAGCAGACAATTGTTTCGACACAAGGCGTGATAAGTCTTTTATCCATACATAATGGAAATTCAAAAAATCACCGCCATCACATATTATATTCTCTTCAACACTCTCATCCGCATACATATCCGCAACGTATAAGAGATTTACATGTTTATCTCTTTTCTCCGCAGTGAGGTGAAGAGGATGTACTGAAAAATCACCGTAAAACTTTGAAAGTCCATAGACATTAATTGAAATGTCATTCAACTTTTCAAATTTCGGGACATTTTTTAGTGATACTGGAAAATCTATACCTTCAAAATTTAAGTCATCATTAAATTCTTCATAACTGGAAACTCGATCACTTCTTACTACATTTGAATGTAAGGCTGAGAGAACGGCTCACTTAAAACATTTATTATCTTCATTTTTCACGTTAATACAAGCTTTTTTTCTTTTAATTTGGGGTGGTAGATCAATATATGAGCTTGCACGCAAAGGGTTATACTTGTTTACATTCATTTCAAGTCTTATAATTGATTGGAGATTCCAATTTGAACCCTTTGCGTGAAATTCTTCTACGCTGCGCAAGATTGGCTGCTTAATGTTCTCATCGAACCAATCATCTAAGAGGGTTGTGATGAAGATGCTGTTAGCCTTGCATCCGAAAGGAATAGGCTTAACAATCTCCTCACCATTCTCAACCCTTTTAAAATGTGCGATGAGAACACCATACACCAAAATGGGTCCATTCTTATTTAAGGCCCCTTTTATGTGATCTTGAAAAAGCGTGGACGCATCGTCCAAGAATGCGCTAATATCGATATGTACTAAGTTTAGGACTGCATTGGTGTACAATCTACACGCAAATGCACTCTCACACTCTTCCCAGCGCACACGATTATTAATATCTGGGTCACCGATTCCAGCGCCATCTACAATGTGAGACTCGAATAACGCGCGAAACAAGTTTTCATGTTGTGAGCATTCTACAATCCATCGATCAACAAAAGAGCGTCTTACATTTACGTCATCGAGCAGTGGAATCAGTTCAAGAGCTTCCTTGATGAGAGCAACAGTTAAGTCACTCTCATCAAGGATGGTCGCGTAATTTGGAAACTTACGTGGTCCATCGGTGGTTGTAGCCTTCCGCTTCATGTCTGAACCTGAAATTGAACTTACAAGCTAACACACTTAACCTAAAAAACAAACTTAGAATATAAAATACTTAAACTGAACAAAACGAACTTACAAACTAAATTACTTAATCTAGAAATAAGAAAGATAAATATAATAAACAAAAAAATACAATAAAAATCAAAAAACACACTTATAAGCTAAAATCCTTAAACTAATCAGAACAAACTTACAAACTAAAGTACTTAACTTAGAAATCAAAACAAAGTAAATGCAATAAACACGGTAAATATAACAAGAAATGTAACAAAAAAAAGATAGTAAATATATCCAAAAAGTAATAAGACAGTTAGTAATAGCCAAGGAAGACTCCTGCTGCTGCTGCTGCTGCTGCTGCTGAACCTGTGAACAGAACAGTTATTGACTGAAACTGCTAGAGATCCTCAATATATACCCCAGAATCTCCACTCTCACCTTTCGCGCATGCGCTGTTTACAATTTACCCCACTTCTACTTATTACCCCTACTCCTATCTTTACACATTAGCAGTATCACATTTTTCCCTCACTCATACTTATTACCCCCACTCCTATGATTACGCTTGCGCAAAAAAAAAACTTATTTAAAAAAACTTATTTATTTATTTATTAAATGTTAATATTAATTATAATATTTAGTCGTCTCTGACGACGACGACGACGACGACGTTGACGACCTCCAGCAGGAGGGGGTGGCGTCGGCATCCTGGGCTGCGGAGGGGGGGTTGGCGCTCTAACCTCTGGTAGAGATGGCGTCGGGGACTGTGGTGGAGTCCCTGGCGGTGATCCCAGCTCCACCCAAGATGGCGTCTGCACCCTTAGTGGAGACTCTGGCGGGGTTGCTGGCAACGGTATCTCATTGCCTTCATTCTGCAACTAAGGAAATTATTTTACATTATATTACATTATTTTACACTATATTACACTATATTACATTATATTACATTGTATTACACTATATTACACTATATTACACTATATTACATTATATTACATTGTATTACACTATATTACATTGTATTACACTATATTACACTATATTACATTACAATATACTTACATTATGAATTGACACCCTCATTATGTGGCACCGGTAGCATGTGCACCACTGCTCCATGGTGGACCGCTCCTTGTAATCCCTAGAAGCAGATTATGCTTCTCTGCCGTGGTGCTCAGAATCTTATAACCCTCACCCTACCACGCACTCACCCCACCATGCGATTACCCCACCACGCGCTCTCAACACCTTGTGTGAGCGGCCGTTGAGTGAAGCTTCTACGATTTGAACACGCCGTCGGTAACGCGCGAAATTTAAATTGTACGATTATTCCTATTATTTATAATACTTAATATATTAAATTAATATTGTTTAATTTATTGCTGAATTTAATATTAAAAGTTATAAAAAAATATGAAATAATTATAAAATAGTTAAAATCAGTATTATTAATTAATACAATATAAGTTAAAATTTTTAATATATATCGTATAAATATAAAAAATTAGTTATAAGTTATTAAACTTAGCTTAATTGAGAAAAAGAAATAATATATAGTAACTATAAATTATTAAACTTACCTTAATAGATTATTTGTAACTATATTATTAAAGCAAGGGAATATATAAAATTAATATTTAGTTAATATAGAATAAATGTGAAATTATTTTTAAACAAAAATAAAGCATAGAGAATTAAACTAGTTTTCAAATCTATAAAAGTATAGAAATAAAATGTACACTAAATGAAACTCATGTATAGAAATAAAAAGGAGAGCGAATGAAATTTATGTAAAGAAAATGTCTTATCAGTGAAAAACCTATTTTAAATCATGCAAAAAAAAATATATATAAAGCAGTAAATAAGACAAAATGAAAAAATATATTTTTAAAAAATAAGAAATAATTGTACATATGTATAAAATATATATATAAAATATAAAAACAAAAAAAACTTTTTTTTACATATGTGCATTACAAAAAATAATAAATAAATGTTACTATGTACAAGGTATATCAAATATATGTGTAAAAGTAATGCTTTCTTTTTTACATACTTAATTTACAAAAAAAAGTGAAGAAAATAAACAATAACATACAAATTTAAAATTACTTCAAACTAGCATAAAAAAATAAATATAAACTAAAATTGTACTACATGCAGAGCGTATGAAATGGAAAAAAAAACAATAACATTCAAATTTAAAAATAACTTCAAAACAAGTATAAACAAATAAATATAAAATAAAATGGTATTACATGCAAAACCTACGATAATGACAAACTATAACACATGAAATATGTAAAAAAGAAAGGTTTTAGTTTAAATATATATTTGATATACCTTGTACATATTCAAACTAAAACCTTTTTCTTGTTATTAATATGAAAAGAAACAAGAATATAAAAGAAAAAAAAATGATAATAGAGAAAAAAAATAAAATAAAAGAAATGTCGTGTGAAATAGAAAATAAACAGTGAAAATGACATGTGAAATTGAAAAAAAGAGAATGAAAATGTTGAAAAAAAATGATAATAGAGAGAAAAATAAAATAAAAGAAATTTCGTGTGAAATGGAAAATAAACAGTGAAAATGACATGTGAAATTGAAAAAAAGAGAATGAAAATGTTGAAAAAAAAATGATAATAGAGAAAAAAAATAAAATAAAAGAAATGTCGTGTGAAATGGAAAATAAACAGTGATAATGACATGTGAAATTGAAAAAAAAGAGAATGAAAATGTTGAAAAAAAATAATAATAGAGAAAAAAAATAAAATAAAAGAAATGTCGTGTGAAATTAACGCCTGTTCCTAGTTGAAGCCGTCACCATTGCTCTCATCGCTTTTGTCAAGCGTTGTTGAGCAGTACTTTTTAAGGGTCGAGCAGCAATTTCAATTGCTCGACGCGGGGCAGGTTGTGGTTGTCGTCGTGGAGTTGGTTGTGGTGGTCGTCGTGGAGCAGGTTGTGGTTGTCGTCGTGGAGCAGGTTGTGGTGGTCGTCGTGGAGCTGGTTGTGGTGGTCGTCGTGGAGCAGGTTGTGGTGGTCGTCGTGGAACAGGTCGTGAAGCAGGTTGTGGTGGTCGTGGAGCAGGTTGTGGCACATGTGCAATTCGACGTCTTGGTGCTGCTGCTGGGTAATTTTCAACCTGCGGCATTGACACCTCTTGTGCAGCAGTATTATTTATTGATCTTGTCATCAAGGTTGGCTGTTGCGGATGAGTTTGAGTACGACTCCACGGACCTGGCTCCTGTACCGGTTGTGGTGAATCTGGTCGTGCAGCAATCTGAGTAACAGTCAACCTTGGCGCCGCTTGTGGTATATCCCGGCCCTGTTCAGATGCCCTCAGGAATAACGCCGGTTCCTCTGGGTCATATTGAATATTCTCCATAGCCTCTAACATAGAGATAAGATTATGCTGAAAAAAAAATTTTTTTAATGGAAGTTATTATTATTAATATTATTAAAAACAGTTTAAATTTTATTCACTACTGGATGGAAATATAAAGTTTTATTAATCTAATATTCTTTTAAATTTGACGGTGGAGTGTAGTGTTAGAATGTTTGACATTTTATGATAAAAAGTGATTTTATAAATGAAATTATATTTATATTATAAGTTATATATAAATAATTAAATTGTACTTACATTTTCTCGCTGCATTGTCATACGTTTTCTAAATTTACTATAAAATACTCGACACTGAGTTGTTTGCACTGAGGGTTAGGTTTGATATTAATATGGCGACTCAGGGGTGGCATAATAGAAAAAATTCTCAACATATTCCACAATTTTTACAATTTTCAATTCTACAATTGTGTTTATCATTGATAAAATTTGAAAAACTGTTTTTAATATAGTATTCCTTTAAGGAAGTTCTCTCCCTCCAACGTCAGTCAAATCAATGCCCATTTAAGTTTTCATTTGTATCACGTAGTACTAGCTCAACGCTTGGCAACGTTGGATTATAATTCCCCCGTTCCGTTTCGTGTCGTCTGCTATTGTTTGATTTATTTTCGTTAAATAATAATAACAATAATTTATTATTTTAAAAATCTTAATTTTTTATAAGCAAATTCAAATTATTATTCATTATTATGAATCTTTGAAGAATATACTATTATATGTATATACTACTTATATTACTTTCAAATTTCGCGCTTTTTCTATTTCCTTAAAATATAATTTATAAACTTATACAATAATAAATTTGAAATGTTATGTCAATTGAAAGTTAAAAATTCCCGCCAAACAAGAAAATGTTTGAAAACGAGGAAAGTACACATGTGAATTTTGTAAATAATTTTAAGAAAATATTTAATATGTATTAAAATGAACAATAATACTAATTTTATTAAGTATTAATTATAATTAGTTAATTAATCAAGGCTTTTATTATAATTTTATTGTTAAAACTGTTAATTTTTTGATAATAAGAATGAGCCAATGAGAGACTTCCAATTCTTTCAGGACTGAGAGAATAATGATTCGAGAATATCGCAATTGGAATTATCTTGGCGCGAAATACAATTTTAAATTTAAAATTGTATATTATAGTATTGATTAATCAACTAATTATAATTAATACCTAATACTTACAATAAATGTAATATATAATAAAATAGTTATGATTAATAGTAAATAATCTGTAAGTGGTAAACAATAATTTATATATTATTAAACTCACCTTAGTTCAAATTGAAGTAGTATATATTGATAATAAATAATTGAATAAGTTGATAATAATTAGCAGTAATCAATTTATATTTTAACAATTAATTATTTATTATCACATTTAATTAATACTTACACCAATAATTAATAAGTATACAATTATAATAATTAATAATAACTTTAATGTAGCAATAAAAAATATTTTTATAGAAAATCGTGGCGCCATCTGTTGGGTTTTCTACCAATCAACTTGATCGGTAAAACAAAATGGCGGCCAACCAAATTTGAATTATCGAAAAAAAATTTAAATTTCCCGCCAAGCAGATTTGAATTCGCTAGTGGCGCCATCTGTTGGGTGGTTAGTAAACTAACTCGGTCGGTAAAACAAAATGGCGTCACTAGCGAATTTGAATTTTCAAATAAATTTTTAAATTTCCCGCCAAGTGCTCTGTCGGTAAAACAGATTCCTACCATACCAACTGGGTTTGAATTCGACCAGCTGCTGATAATGTAGAAATCTGCATTACCGACAGAGCAGTTACCGACTGTGGGTAACTTAGCCGAGATCAGAACCTGTCCTAGAACTCTCCTAGCCATACTACTTGTGTCTGACCATGCTGTCCTTCCTTTTACCATTGAAGATCCTATTGAACCTCAAAATCTTCCAAATGACTTGGAATTTCCTGAGTCCACCAATCCAGAAGATAACATAAATTTTGAAGACGTATTTGAAAGCAACGTTTTAAATCTTTCAAATGTTCAAACTGGAGATTCTCAAAAACCGGAACGTGAAAGTAATGTTTTTGAATCTGCTACAAACGAACCGGAAACGGTTCAAGAACATAATTATTTTCATTCCCATAGTTATGATAAAAACAAAAAAAGAAAAGTTGAATTTATTATAGTTCGGAAAAATAATGAGGATCTTCAGCTTGATGAAGAATTGATGGAGAAATATTTAATTGTAGATTTTTAAGTTCTCGTCACTATATTTTTTAGTCTTTCTCTAAATGACATTTTATAATTAATTTTAGATTTTTAGTAATACTTAATATTCTTTTTTTGATACAAAATTATATCACCTTTCAAATAAAAAAAAGAATAAACTGTTTATCTTCACTCCTTAAGATGTTATTAATTATTTAAATAATAATAATTATTAATTATTAATTTATAATGCGTTCATTCAAAATAGTTATGAGTAATTAAAAAAAAGTTGCACTAATTTTTAATGCAAATATCTCGAATAATAAATTTTTTTTTCAAAAATTTTTTTTTAATAAGGGGACTTTCTGGTTTAGAATTTCAAAAAAATCGATTTTTTTTGCTTAAAAATGTTCCATAGTATAATAGAATAACTGTCCCAAAACGTTTTTTAAAAAATATGTACAAAAACAAAAGTTATAACAATATTTATGACGGTATGTATTTCAACAACAATCTACAGTTATCTTATTTACATATTTGGTGTTCCTCTTTTATTGATATTAGCTTGAAACATGTTACTCGAGGGTTTTTGGGGTCGCTGATCACGAATTTGATGTCAGTTTTTGAAAATACAAAATGGCGGATCCAATATGGCGGACAAAAAATAACAATTCAACCGGATTTGCTTAAAACCCCCGAGTAGCAAGTTTTAAGCAAATCCGGTTGAATTTTTATTTTTTCGTCCGCCATATTGGATCCGCCATTTTGAATTTTCAAAAACGGACATCAAATTCGTAATCAGCGACCCCAAAAACCCCCGAGTAACAAGTTTTAAGCAAATACGGTTGAATTTTTATTTTTTCGTCCGCCATATTGGATCCGCCATTTTGGATTTTCCAAAACGGACATCAAATTCATAATCAGGGACCCCAAAAACAGCGGGATACGAAGTTCTGTTGTAATAAAAAGTTGTTTGATATTCATGACTCAATGATTTATGTTATGAAAACTTTGAACGCGTTTTTCTCGAAAACTCATTTTTCAAACTGGTACAGAGCTTTTCTCGAAATCTACCGAACCGATTTTGAAATCCCAAAAATTTTTCGATTCTTTATTTAAAAAAACTGGTGCCTAAACCTCTAAAAACTCATATTTCTACCCCCTGTGTTTTTATATGGAGGTAAATTGACCCAAAAACACGGCGTTTTTGCGAGTTTTTGAGAAAAATATACATAAAAAATAAAAAAACCTTTAAAAAAAATCGTTTTTGAGGTTTAGGCACAAGAATAAATCCTTATGAAGAGATTCCCGTTTGGAGCTTGAATTTATGTATTACAGGTTGCCCGGAATCTAACGTACCAAAAAAAAGGTATCTTTTGGAAGACGCCACCTACAGCTATGAAATTGAACTAAATACACTCAAAGAAATTTTTTAAATTTTCTCTACGCAATGTGCTACAATGTCCAAAAATAGTTTTTACAATTTCTTTAATACTGTTCTTACAATAAAAGTTTTAAAACCTTCCTTTTTTGTCAATTCTAAACCAGAAAGTCCCCATAAACTAAATTTTCATCTATTCTGAAATTAAAAAAATTAGGAAGAACATAAAAACAAGAAACAATTTTTTGTAAAAAAAATTTATTTTAATAAAAATAAATAACAATTACTAAAAAACTTGTAATTATTATAAATTAGGAGTAGTGGAATCAGGGGCTGATTCCACTTCTTCACCCTCAATGAATGGAGAAGAAGGGGCTGTTACATAACCGTCGAGTGACGGTGAACTCGGTGGTGTTGCATAACCGTCGGGTGACGGTGAACTCGGTGGTGTTGCGTATTCACTTGCAGGAGAACCAGGAGATGATGCATGAGGTGAATTTGATGATGATGGGGGAGAAGAACGATTAGGTGACGGCGGGGTGGTGGAATCAGGGATCTGTGGAGACCTCGAACGCGAGTTGCGCAAATGATTATGTTGCAAATCATCAGTAAAAAAATAACAATTAAATAGAAAACAATAATTTTAACTCAATAAGAAGTAGGTTCCAATATTTAAAATTTATTCTTAAATTCTTTAAAATAAAATTTTAAGGTTATGATTAAAATTTCAAAAAACTATCTTAAATTAATATTTTGATTAAAATATATTTTAAAATGATTATAATTAATATTACTAGATATTATACATACCTTGATTTCCACATCTAACGTTCGACATCCTAATAGGATATTAGGGAAGAATTTTAAAATTAACTTAAAATCACAGCGAAATTCGCTTTTGTGAAAAATAAATTAAAAAAACAAAAGAATTAAGAAGGTGGATAAAGCAGGTATTATGTTGGCAAATTTTTTTTGGCAGGAAATAATTTTTCTGTCAAATCTTCTCTTTAAAAAAGTTAATTAATTAAATGATGGGTTAATTAATTTTTTTTTAAAGAGAAGAATTGCCAGAAAAATTATTTCCTGATCGCAACTTTTTTTTTGAACACGAAATAATTTATTTGGCAATTTTTCTCCTTGAAAAAAATTTAATTAACTAATTAATTAAATAATAAGTTAATTAATTTTTTTTTAAAGAGGAGAATTGCCAGAAAAATTATTTCCTGATCGCAACATTTTTTTTGAAACAGAAAATAATTTTTTTGGCAATTTTTCTCCTTGAAAAAAATTAATTAACTAATTAATTAAATAATAAGTTAATTAATTTTTTTTTTAGAGAAGAATTGCCAGAAAAATTATTTCCTGATCGCAACATTTTTTTTGAAACAGAAAATAATTTTTTTGGCAA